TCTATCTCTTTATCCCTCTCCCTTCCTCGCTCTCTAAAATCAATAAAAACATATTTTTAAAAGGAGAAGAAGAAGAGGTGGAGACGAAGGCCAGAAGTCCCCAGGTCTATGGAACTTAGAAAAGGAGAAGGCACCTTGCCCAACATCCAGTGTTTTTCTTGAAAGTATCTAGAACTTGTGGCAACCAAGTGGAAGGAATTATTAGGGACAAGCCTGGAGGTGGGAGGAGGAGAAGGGAGGGTGTTAGGAGAACCCGGGAAAGACATCAAAGTCCTGACTAAGGTGGTGGTGGAGATGGGAGATGGGTTTCTAACTTCAGAATGATCGGCATGTCACCAAGGCAATGCCCTGGAATGTGGAACGCTCTGCGGGTTTCCCACAGATGGCCGGGAAAACAGCCTTCTGGGGCCCCGGATTGGGATACTGCCTGAGGGGGCACAGAGCCCCTTGCTTATTGGGTAAGAACCTCTGGGATGCAGGAATGGATGCCTGCTGTCTGCCCAGCGTCCTGCTCCTACCTCTGTCAGTCACCCCTCCCTCTATCTTTTGGAGAAATTGCCGGTCCACTGTCCAGTCCATCACAGAACCTCATCCTCCTGGTCAGAAATGGACTTGCCGTCTCTCCGGCCACAACAAGTAGCTCAAAAGTGGGCACATGGCTCAGTGTGAGTCACCCACTGCCTTTCCCGGTATTGCCCTTGAATAAGGCCCTTCGTGTGTCTGGATAATTGTGACTCTCGGACTGCTGGGGGCTAGTCTGGCCAGTGGAGAAGGTCTGACCTCCCTGGGAAACATGTCAATGTAAGGAGACAAGTAGGAATGAGTGATGGACACAGAGAGAGTCTGACTCCACCCAGACCCAGTTCTCCCGTCAGTTCCTACAGCTCCCCATCCAGTGAGCCAGCCCAGGATCTTCTCACAAACCGCCTCCATCCTTTCCTTTTTTCCTTAAGCCAGTCTGAGCTGCCTTTCTGTCATTTACAATCAAACAATTTTTTACTGATTTTACTGCAAAGGAAAGGAACTTCGGCGACTTCAGTGGCTGTCTCCCTGGCGTGAAGGAATTCGGGGCCAGCGCCTGGACTGCGCACCCACACGAGAGGCTGCGGGAGGGTGGGTGGCAGTGTTGCCCATTCCGTTCAGCCGAACAAAGGGCTTTTATAAGGACGGCGCTAAACAGAAGTCGGCAAACTCTCCCCAGGGGGAGTATGAGCCAGGGAGAGACACACAAACAAAATGTAAGGAAACATCTGCCAAAAGCAAGGATTGTTTTTAAAAAGTGTTTTAATATCAGAGAGGATGGACTCTTCTCTGCTTGTATTTTAGAGACAATGAGGGAGACCCAGAGAGGAAGACTGAACTCTTTTTACGAGAGGCCTGGGGTCGCACAGATCAAAGATGTAAGTTTTACTTGTGAACGAGAAACTCGCTTCCTGGTAATTTTTCGGGATCAGAGTCTGGGCTGCCTTCACAAAGCGCTTGTATCTAATGACGCTGAAAGCACATCTTAAAACAGTGCTCAGTCAAGGGAGGAGGTGTGTGCCTCGTTCCCACTTGGTCCCAAGCAAGAAACCGTGGTATCTCCACAGGAACCTGCCTTGCAGACTATGTGGCGAGGTCTAAAGCTTCAGAACACGGGAGAACCTGTCGCTTCTAAACCAAGAACGCCCAATGCCCTTATTTGATTTGTCAGCAGTGAATGCATGCAAGACTCTAATTCAGGGGTGGGCAAACTTTTTGACTCGAGGGCCACAATGGGTTCTTAAACTGGACCGGAGGGCCGGAACAAAAGCATGAATGGAGTGTTTGTGTGAACTAATATAAATTCAAAGTAAACATCATTACATAAAAGGGTACGGTCTTTTTTTTTTTTAGTTTTATTCAATTTCAAACAGGCCGTGGGCCGTAGTTTGCCCACGGCTGCGTCTAATTCAACGCAAAACCCAAGTCCTGTCAAGTTCGAAGAGGCGTGGCCTCTGAGGGGTGCCGGTAGGTGGCGCAGCAGGCTAACTCACGCCCCTTCTCCGACCGCTGGCTGCCTGGCTACCACTGCACCTCCCCTCTTATCAGGTGGTCATCGCAGGCCGCCTGATGAGCATTCAGGAAATGCTTAGAACCAGTTGAGCAGAAAGTATCATGTCACCTCAGTGGAGTGATGCGTATTATTAGGATGTCTCTGCCAAGATTTTTCAGAACCTGAAATCGGCCTATTTCTTTATTTCTTGAACGTATATGAAAATAGGACTTTTACACTAATCATATGGAAGTGAACAGGTCGTAGACATAAAATAATGGTTTTTGTCCCCACAGTTGCCTAATTCTAATCCGTCCTCTGGGCTAGCCCTTCTTTGCTGCTTGAATGGTATCTAGAGCCGTAATGTCTCTGGTTGCCCTTGAGTAATGAATGGCCTTCTATTTACTTTTAACCCCCCAAACTGTCTTATTCCTGCAGTTAGAATAGTGATTCTTATGACCATCAGACACGGAACTACTTGTGAAGTTAAACCTCCTTGTTCTCCCCTATCTCGGGCTCATTTTAGTCTAGGGCAGGGGTGGGGAGCCTTTTTCTGCCAAGGGCCGTCTGCATAGTTATAACATCATTCACAGGCCACACAGAATTATCAACTTAAAAATTGGCCTGCTCTATTTGTCAAACATTTAATTAACTCACCCACAATGCCTTGGCGTGGCCAGACCAAATGATTTCACAGGCCTTATGTGGCCTGCGGGCCAGACGTTCCCCACCCCTGTCTAGAGGCTTGCATTGGAGAGACATGCGTGTACCTTCTAGATTTTCCCCACTTAGCTTTTCCACTCCTTCTTCACACAGTCACTCATTCCTCTCGGCCCCTGAGGGTAGCTATATGGAGAGGAGGAGGACAGCTCGGGAGCAAGACGGTCTTCCCTGGCTGGCACCGATGTAAAATGGCAGTCTACCAAACATGAGTTCACAATCAAACCTGTAAAACAGCCCTGGCAGCATGCTCAGTGGTTAGAGCATGGCCTATGCACCAAAGGGCCTTGGGTTCAATTTCCAGTCAAGGGCACGTAACTCAGTTGCAGATTCAATCCCCAGCCCCAGTCAGGGCACGTGCAGGAGGCAACCAATCAATGTCTCATATCAATGTTTCTCTCTCTCCCTTCCTCCCCCATCAGCCCTCCCTTTCCCTTTTTCTATAAAGCAATGGAAAAAAACAAACAAAAAATAGAAAACACATAAGGAAACAAGAAAGCATGAGTGACAGCAAAAGTAACAAACTTCGAACTTCAAACTTAGACCCCAAAACACTGCTGATTTTGGCACCACTGAGTATAATAATAAAAGTGTAATATGCTAATTAGACCAGACGTCCTTCCAGACAAAGCCAGGGCTGCGAGGGTGGGTTCCAGGTGCCAGAGGGAAGCCGGTGCCGGCAACCAGGGGAAGGAAGGCCTACTCTTGCACAAATTTCATGCATTGGGCCTCTAGTAAAATATAAAATTAGTGCATTTAATATATTCAAAGAAATAAGAATTTTATACAGGAGTAAAAAACAAGATGCTTTCAACAATGACCATGCTGATTTGAAAAAATACCTAAATTGAACTTTTAAAAATGAAAAACATACTACTTAAAATTAAAACTAGAAGGAGATTAGAGCCAGCTGAAGAGAGAAGTAGGGAACTGGAAGATGAACTTGAAGAATACAATAGACAAAGAGATAGAAAATGCAAAAGGTAGATTAAGCAACCTGTAGCATAGAATGAGAAAGTCTGACGTACATTTAATTGCAACTCTCAAGAATTTAAAGAGAAGAAATATTTGATATGTTAATAGCTGAGAGTTTTCAATAACTGATGGCAAATACAATCCACAGATTTAGGAAGCACAACAGATCCCAATCTGAATAGATTTTTTAAAAATTCACACCTGGACACATGTTATTTAAACCAAAGAACACTGGAGACAAAAAGAAAATCTTAAAAACAGCCAGAGAGACGAGCCAGATCGCTTACAAAGCAAGGATAATTCGGTCGGTAACTGACTTCTCAAAACAACCAACCACAGAAGCCAGGGGGAGCGGAGTGATGACTTGAGAGTGTGGACAGGAGGTACCTATTAATCTAAAGTGGTATGCTCAGTGAAATTATCTTTCAAGAACAAGAATGACGTAAAAACTTGGGTTTTTTGATAAACAAGAACTAGTTGAGTATGTTACCCATAAACTATCACTAAAGACTTCCTTCAGAAAGAAGGGGGAAGACCTCAAAAGAAGGTACGAAACGCAGGAAGAAATGACATGCAGAAGAACACGGAGGTGATTCTAAAACACTTTCTAAACCAAATCCACTATTTTATAAAGCGGAAGAGCAAGATGGGATTAAAACAACGGACCAAACGGCAGAAAGTCCGGAGGAGGGAATCAGAGTGCAACACTATTTAAGTCCATCTTTAAGGCAAATCTCTGGGTGAACAGAATGAAGTTAACTGCTTCATAGGAAAGAACTGAGCCCGGATGCTTCAAGCAAGGACAGGTTTTCTGTCCGCCCAGGACCCGGGGACGTGCAACGCCAGAACCTGGCAGGAGGGGGGTCAGTGGTTCCCTGATGTACCTGTCGCTTCTTTCGCCAACAGGTTTTAAGATGCCTCCTCCTCAGGTGCTGTGGAGTTCCTCAGATCTCTTCGCAACATGCCCTCCCACCAACTGCTTCCTTCCTCACTTCCCCAAGTGCCACTTCTCGCATGTGCCCCTCTGACAACGGGCTGGGCGCCACCCACTGTGCGGCCTTCCAGCTTCCCCTCTCCGGAGGCGGGCAGTCTGCGCAGAGCCATGGCGATGCTCATACAAACCCGTGAAACACGCTGTGCTCTCCCAGGCCCACAGCAGCGACCGATACCGCTGTCACGGGGCTTAAATCAACCGGAGACAGCATGGAGCGCGAGTTCCTCCTGCCGGGTCACTGACTGTCAGGCCATGATCACATGTAGTTGTGTTCATCATGAGTCTTGACCACACACGGAGGTGAAAAATGCTTTATTTCACAGTTTAAAACATTGCAATGCAATTCGCTCTGTATATTTGACACTGAAAAGAAGTCCCGGGCAACAGACAGACAGACAGTTCAGTTTCGATGCCACAGACAAGGCACAAAAACGAACAGGTCGGTGACACGGGCAGCACCTTCCTCAGCCTCCGTCCCTTCTCCTTCCTCCCGCAGGAGGCTCTCGGGCAGCGTGTACACCTTCGCCCCACAGCGGTGCTCCCTGGAAGCCACGGTGAGAGGCTCCTCTCGTTCAGCCTTCCCGGGAGCAGGTCCAGCCCCACCAGCCAACCACCACCACGCAGAGTAACCGCCGCTGCCTCCCTCGGTATCTGCCCTCTTCGTTCTACTGAAGATCCCTGAATGCAGGCAAGTGGCAGGCAGTTAGATCCTGAGCAGGTCACCCTCAAGGCCCAGAAATCTGAGTCTCGATGAATCTGTACTTTGGCTCAGAAATCCCTCTTCAAGGAGGAGTCTAAAATCCGTGACACAGTTATCCAGGCGCCCCCAGCACGGGGCGAGGCTGAGTCCCCGGCACATCAGCAGTCACTGGGCAGTGCCCGGGTAGGACGGGCAGCGTGTCTGTGCTCACAGCTTCCCTCCACGGCGCCAGGTCGTGGGCCTCGAGTGCAGGACTCCTGCCACCATGCTCGGCGGGCGGTACGGAGGGTCAGCCAGACCCCAGGCCCTCAGGAGTCGCAGGAACTGGAAAGAACCTAGACAGACAGTCCGTGGGCCTGGCTCTGGGTTTTTAAAGCTCCTTTTCAACCTCTTCCACTTTGTTTGAGGGACCCCAGCACCCCCCAGCCTCTCACAGACCCAATGAAACAGGGCATGTGGAAGTGGCCTGTAAACAGCAACACCCTGAGCATCAGGCAAATATTAGAATCCCCTGCTCACCACCCCGGCAGCGGGAGCCCAGGCGGCTGCTGGCAGCAGCTCACGAGTGTCCTCGCCCCACTCGGATGTCCAGAGCCCCCAGCTCTGAGCCTCACTGATCAGCTTCCCGGGAGGTCAGAGGGGGATCCTGGAAGGAAAAGCGAGGCCCTTGAAACCTGGACCCCATGTTGGTCCACTTGGATCCTTACACCCAAGTCAGTTTCAAACTCCTGTAAGGTTCAGGCTGGACCCTGGGTTGGGAGGATGGGTCGTGTAGATTTGCTGCTTCTTGCCCACCCCACATGCAGCAGTCATCTGTGTGGGCAGGCGGTTTTGGGAAATGCGGATCCAGCAGAAAAGACCTGGCGTCCGGAGACCAGATTCCGCGCGTGACTTCACCAATGGGCGACTTCACCAATGGCTTCTCCATCGCTAAAGCCGTGGCTGCGGCCTCCGGCAGAGGCGGCCTGAGTCTAGTCCAGGAGCTGTGTCAGTCTTTGAGACTACGAGTAGCACTGACGGGCGTGGCGAAGTGTTTTGAGCATGGAGTGCCTGGGGGTGAGTGGCAGCCCCCTCCCCACCCCGTGCCAGGGGCAGAGTGAGGCTCAGGAGATGAGGCCCGTCTCCTCTGTAAGACTTTGTGTCGGGAGGGTGGCCGGCAGCACTGGAGGCTGCGGAACGGAGCCAGGAGCAGCCAGGACAGCACTCCGGTGAGCACGCGTGGGTGGGACAGCTGGCATGCACTGTCAGCTCCGTGACAAACGTCCTCGGCTTCCTAAGGAGTCTCTGCACGGCCCAGAGACGCAGTTCATCTACCAGGGGACACTCTGCCACCTGCATCCACGTGCCCTCAACACGTCCCAGACTCACTGTGACTCACAGGCAAACACAGCAGCTCACCCATCATCCCATGGGCCCTCCGCCTCCCCCTCCCTCTCCCAGGTCCCCTTTCTTTATTAACATTGGCTTTTCCGATCACTGAGAATATCATGAACTAAGACAGATGGACACACAAACAACTAAAATATCAAAATATGCCCATTTAAATAAAAAACGCACACACTTTAATCTCCGGGTCTGCTGTCACTTATCCATAGCAGGGCGTCACATGATGGGCACAGAACCTCCCCGTTCTCTTTGGGCATGTCCTGTTTCCCCAGGTCCCAGTGGACAGAGACCAGTCTCACCCCAGACTGGCTTTGTGCCCCAGGAAGCTGGGGAAGGAAGCTGGGCCAGCCCTTCCTCTGAGGATACATGACTCAGGAGAGCAGGAGCAAGGGCGGGCCAGGAAGCCTGGGCACCGATGGCACCTCTGCCTTCCCTTGTCCGTCAGCCTCACCACCTGCCCACGTACCCAGAAGCGACTGTCTTCTCTCTTCCCTGCAGGCCTTGACGTCTCAGGCACTCTACAGACAAGCTGGCCCAGCCCAGTTACTGCATGTCTGTCACTGCCTGCACCTGTATCGTCCTTGGAATTGCAGGTTTCCAATTTTAGTCCTTTCCCACTGCCTCCTCCACCGTCACCCAAGCAAGAGTGCCCGGCTCGGAGCAGCAGCAGGGGGCTCTGCGGCGGGCGTGGGGGGCTCTTTGGTGGCGAGAAGCCTGATTCGGGGTGCGGATGAAGAGAGAATAGCACCCGCAGCTACCGATGTTCTCCAAGATTGCCTGAGCAAGTTGACTCCAAAGCTGGTGACTAAGAAAGGATGTTTTAATCTTCTTTTCCATCTGAACCAGGGCCCAAATGGACAGACTAGACCTAGGCTTTTGGAGGCCAGGGACAGCAGCACGGCTAAGACTCAGCACCAGGGTTATGGCTCATGTCTTCCAGCCCTTGGAAGTGCCAGCACTGGGCTGAACTGTCCGCCTGGGTCCTCTCGGACAGGCCAGAGCCACCGCGGAGTCCTTGGTAGCCCAGTTCTCCAAGCAATGACATCAACCCATCCACTGGCCTCACCCAGCCACTTCTTCGTTTCATTGCACACATACGACTGTTTTGGTAAAACCTGATGCAAATGGGATGGTCCTCTGAGAATGAGGCCCAGCTCCAGTCAGGTGGCCCTGGAGAAGCCCAAGGAGATGCTGAAGGAGGAAGCTGTCCAGAGAGCCACAGGTACAGGATGGACCCGTGTGGCAGGCGAGCACCCTCCAGGGATAGGACCCAACCACGAGTCCCGCCATACAGCCTGGGCAGAAAGGCTTTGGCCAAAGTCTGCCCAAGAAAGTGGAGACTGTGAGACACCCAAGGCTGGATGGAGTCAGGGATTCGGGGCCGGACAGTGAAGCAAGATGATGAACATGTAGAGAGAGCAACGTCTCATGCCTTGAGTAGGAGTCAGCGATGTGGGCTCGCTCACTGGCAGTTCTTCTGCTGGTTTTAGCTGGGTTCCCTCATGTCTGCAATCAGAGAGGGAGAGGGGGAACTGGGCCCTTTCTCCCATCATGCAGCGGGACAGCCCAGCTCCTTCCCCTGGTGGTAACTGCCAGGTGCCCAAGAACAGCAAGAGAGGGCAGTCCCATGCCCAAGGATTTCCCATCTCGGCTTGTGTCACATTTGTTACTGGGCCACCAGCCCAACCATATGACTTGGCCATGCCAGATTCCAGGGTGGAGAGGCAGACTTCACTTCTGGGTGAGAAGGAAAGTGTGGCCATTTTTTTCAATTTACACAAATTACAAAATCCAGAGTGATCTATTGGGCGGCAGACCTGTCATTTCGGCCGTGGTGGGGACAGGAAGTGCTCCCCCGGCAGCAGTGTCCCTCGGCTCCCAACGCGTCTGGAGCGGCCACAGCGTGAGGCCAAGGTGCGTGGGCACGTCTCCGGGGCCTGGAGCAGCAGAGCTGCTGTGGCAGAAACCACGCATGGCAAACGCAGTACGAACCCAGGGAGATCACGTGGAGTTCGGGAGGGAAATGGCCCATATTCCAAGTACGAGAACATGCATTCTTTTCTCTTCACTCCATTGCTGCATCCTCTCCTTTCGCTCCCTCTTCTCCTGCACATGCAGACTTGAAGCATTTATCAAAAAGCCTGTCGGCATGTGGAGGGAGGCGGGGCTCTGTGTGGCCCCAGCTCTTGTCCAAGACTCAGGTGTGTGCAGCAGAGAGAGAAAAAGCAGCTTATGTTCTCAGAATTGGAAAGGAACCCACTTAGCTTTCCATACAGGTATATACTCTCTTCCGTGTTGTTCCGACAACAAATTGAAGTCATTTCTGTCATGCGCTCACTCACAGCTTCTGACTTCAGTGTAACCACAGCGTTGAGTAGGGACGAGAGGAGATGGGATAACACGTATACTTAGCCGGAAGCTCTCTCCCGTTGTCAGCAGAAGGCCTTCTGATAGCAGTAATAAGTTCTGCCGCCTCTCGGCACAGAAATGCGTGCTGAAGGCAGCGGCATTCCTGGAGCTTAGCGTCCCCAGCTCACTCCTGTCAGACTTGGAAAGAATCCTGGTTCGGCTAAGGAGACTGGTCGGGCGAGAAATGCGCGTGTGGAACATTCCTGCGTGCAGTCACTCGCATGGCGATTTCTCAAACCGGTCACACGGTACTGAGGTCTGGAATCAGCCTCGCTCAGGCTTCCCCCGTCCCTGGCCAAAGCAAAGATCAGCAAACCTTCCAAGGTGGCGGCCGGAGAAGGTCCCGGCCTGCTGGCGCTTGGATTTGTGTCTTGTCCCCATTGTCCACTTCTGATTCTCGTCATCCAGAGAGACGTCTCGAACAAACATCAGACCACAAGGGACATCCTGGTTGGAAAGTCATTCTGGAGAAGAGCAGAAAGAACCCAGCATGAGACCACCAGTTGTTTAGAGACCCAGCACAACAGGTGGTTCCGCGGGCACAGGCCACAGCCTGGCTCCCGCACCCCCGAAGGATGCACTCATAGACTGGGGAGGGGTGTGCATACACGCATGTGCAAGAAGTTCTGCACGCAGGCCTCCCAGCCCATGCAAGGCACCAAGAATCCCTGACGCTGCTTGTTAGAGATGCTCACTAATGATCCCACCTCTCCTTCCACACACCTGCGCGCCTGCCTCTCCAGCTCCCCAGGCCCCCTGCCTACTCACCCCCCCATTAACACCCCCCCCCCCCCGTCGCAGGGAAAGGGGGGGAGACTAGCCCCGCACCCAAGTTCCCTGCAGCGGGCCCCTCCCTCCGTATCTGGGCCACCTGCTCTGCCCCCTCCTCTGGCCGCCCCAGCCGGGACAGGCGCTGCCCAGGCAGCCCAGCCTCACCCTCACCCCAGCCTCACCCTCACCCCCACCCTGGCCCTCACCGGCTTCTTGGCGGGCTCCTTCTTCCGCCGCTTCTCCGAGGAGCCGTGGGCCGACAGGTCGCGGCCGCGGTGGGACGGCGCCCGGCTCAGCTCGAGCTCGCTGTAGGGCGGCAGCGTGTCCTCGGCCGAGTCCCCCTCGTCGCTGCCCCGCGGAGCGCGCGCCCGGTAGGTGGCCGGCGGGGACCAGGCGTAGTAGGGGGCGCCGCGCCGGGCCGGGGTCTCCAGGCTGCCCCCGCGGCCCGGGCGCTCACAGGCGGCGGGCAGGCTCACCAGCCGGGGCAGCGGGGCGGCCTCGGGGGTCCAGGCGCGCTCGGCCTCGGCGGGGGGCTCGCGGCTGTGGCTCCGCGCCCCGAAGTACCGCTCCGGCGAGTAGCCCTCGGGTGGGTACCCCTCGGGCGGGCCGTCCCCAAAGAGCCCCCCACGCGCCCGCGACTCCGAGCGCTCGAAGCGGCCCCCGGCCCGGGCGTCCAGGCCGCCCTCCGCCGCCCGGCGGGACCGCGCGTACGAGTCGGCGAAGGCGGCCAGCTCGTCCATGGACACGGCCGGCACCCCCGTGGCGAAGCTCTTGCGCGACAGCATCTCGGACTTGGAGCGCTGTTGGCTGCGGGAGAGGGTCGGGGTCAGGCGCCCGGAAGGCCAGGGGCACGGTCTGCCTGCGCCTGGGGACCTGCTGGGAGCCCGGCCACCTCTCTGGGCAGGTTCCCCACAGAGAGGGGCGGCGGCGTGTCCGCCTCGGGTCAGAGCGGAGCATGACAGTGGGGCTCAGGGTCGGTGCGGAGCGTCACAGTGGGGCTCGGGGTCGGTGCGGAGCGTCACAGTGGGGCTCGGGGTCGGTGCGGAGTGTCACAGTGGGGCTCGGGGGTCGGTGCGGAGCGTCACAGTGGGGCTCGGGGTCAGTGCGGAGCGTCACAGTGGGGCTCGGGGTCGGTGCGGAGTGTCACAGTGGGGCTCGGGGGTCGGTGCGGAGCGTCACAGTGGGGCTCGGGGTCAGTGCGGAGCGTCACAGTGGGGCTCGGGGTCGGTGCGGAGTGTCACAGTGGGGCTCGGGGGTCGGTGCGGAGCGTCACAGTGGGGCTCGGGGTCAGTGCGGAGCGTCACAGTGGGGCTCGGGGTCGGTGCGGAGCATGACAGTGGGGGTCGGTGCGGAGCGTCACAGTGGGCTCAGTGGGTGGAGCTTTGTGAGCCACAGGGCGGGGCCCCTGAGCGTTATCACTGACCTCTGGCTGGCAGCTCGAGCCACTGCCACACGTCAGCTCCCTGGGCACAGGGGTGGCTGGCAGCTCACACGGCTGCGGCCCAAGGAGCCCCGTGATACTCGGTGATGAACAGGCCTTGTCCTCCCTCCACCTGACTGACAGGTTCCTCTCGGGTGCAGGCCGGAGGGGCCCACACTGATGAGGGGGGAGAAAGGCGCTGCCCTTCAAGGGAGAGGGCAGGTGAGTGAGAAAGGCGCCCCAGTGGGAAGGCCCCACACCTGGGCCTCCTGCATTCACTGGCTGTGTCCCCCGGGGAGAGTCCCTGGCCTCCCTGTGAGGTCCAGCGTCTGCGAGTTAAAATGCGGACATGAACGGTACCTGCCTGTAGAGTTATGACAACCAGACGCAACAGTGTAACGTGTTTGGCATTTTACCTTTCACATAACAAATGAGCAGAAAGGGTGGAGCTGATGGGTGGGGTATTGTAGAGGCCACGGGATAACACACATGAGAAGGCAGGGAAAGGCGAACAGGGTTCATTAAGAGCCTGGAATGGTGACTTCACGTGACACGCTGCTTAATAAGTGTGGGGAGGGGGTGTTCTCATAGAGGATGTGGCAGGATCACCTAGAACGGCAGGCAGAGGTGCGACCGGGTAAGAACAGCCTGGGACCCCCCCCCCCCCCCCTTCTGCTCCTGCCTCACGCCCAGCCCGGATGCCCCTCCACCCCTCACCTGTGCCTGAAGCTGTCCCGGTCCTCTCTGTTGTACTCCACGGCCGAGGGTCCCCGGCTCGTCCCACTGCTGCCTCCCATGACGCCCGACCAGTAGTCAGCATTGCTCTCCAAGTCCCGGGACACGGGGAGCTGCTTGCTCCGCATCTGATGGTAAGACTGGCGGAAATTGCCATCCTCCTCGTGCAGGGAGCTGAGTTCTGAGATGGTGTTGTTATCTGCAGGGACGAAACGAGGTAGGACAGCGTTCTGCATGCTGGCCAGGACAGGACCACTGGCCAGAGCGAGATCAGGAGCCTCGGGAACCCCACCCAGCGCTCAGCCCCGTCTGTCCAGGGCGGCGAAGACCTGAACTAGCCTGTTTGTGCCCTTAGCTGGGCGGGCGCTGGGTCCAGCTCGAAGCTCACTTGCCTAGAGTGGGAGGCTTATGTCCTTGGACTCAGAAAACAATCGCCATTGCTCCACCTAAGGCAGGCTTCCAGCACGGGGCCCCCGCAGCTGTCTCCTCCTATGACATCATCATCTTGTTCACACGCATGTTGTTGTTTTGCATGATTCTGTGATGAGCTGTGACGACCCCGGACATGTTGAGCCAAAAGGGGTAAAGGAGAGAGAAGCCCCAGTTCACAGTACCTTCCCTACTGTTGGCCGAGTCCTGAGGCGGGGCCGTCAGGGCGAGTACCGCCCCAGCAACGAAGCACCCAGGCCAGCCTCCTGCAGCCGTGCCCGTCCCAGAGCAAGGCGTCCACAGGGCCAAGGGACATGCACACCTCGCGTCTGACCACCCACTCCCTGCTGGAAGCTCATCTAGGAGCCTGGCATATCCTCTCCAAATGGCTCCAAGTCCATTTCCAGGGTCAACGTAGACTCTTCCCCTCCCGAGAGAGTGTTCTAGGTATATGTGGCCTGGTGGCCAGGACAGCTGTTTGGAGGTGCAGGCAGGACAGGGGGCCGGCTGCACCAGGGCCTGGGCCTCCACGTGTGGTCTAGCCCCAGCCCCACATTGTGAGAAGGGCGGGGGAGGGGCTGGGCACAGGTCTCTCATGTCCTAAGGTGGCCTCGGGAGCTATTTGCAACAGCACTTACAAAAAAGGCCAGCATTGCAATCCGGAAAGAAAAATACACATCTATTTATCTGTAGAACTTTGAAATGGATTGAATGTCATTTCCCTTAAAAAAATACATCTACTTAATCTATTTGTACTGTAATTCAAGCCATTTGTTTTCTAAAGTCCTTTGGTTAGAACTTTAAATATTATCAAAGTCAACATTTACAACATGAAGGTCTGGCTGCTGAGCGAGAGGTAAGCCAAGAGGGGAGGTGGGAGGCAGAAATGTGGGCCTGCGTTCCCTCTGCGTCTTCTCCCGTGTGTCCCTGAGAACTGCTGCTGGCTCCCCCAGAAGGGGAGGGTGGTCCTTCCCACAGCGGCACGTGCTGCCTCTCCTCCTCCAGGACACGGCTGACCAGGAGCACCGGGTACTTGGTCATCAATTGGTTTTGGCGGTCAGGGGTTTTGAATTATAATCTAATTTTAAACCTTTCTTCCTCCGAAGGAAAATGGACTGGTGTGTATTTAAACAATAATAACTCAGAGCCTCTTGAGGAATAAAATCTAGAACCTTTCCTTTCTCAGGAGCTTGGTGACGAACCATCTCCCAGGAAGCACGCAGGAGAGAACCTTAAGATGCACCGAGTGTGGGGACTGTCAGCAGTCACGTGTGACTACCGAGAAATCGCATTATTGTCCCAGAACTGTCCTCAGCCTGCAGGAGCAGCGGAGACCTTTCCTGTCTCCGGGTCAGGAGGGCCGTCTCTGTTTCCCCGTTCAGCTGATGGGTGGGCGAGGTTGCCTGCTCTGAAGTTTCTGCCCCATTGAACGTGACCACCACCCTCCTCCGCTTTACGGACCCCTGTAACTCAGGGACAGGACAGGCCAACTCTTCTGTGAAGGGCTGCACAGTAAGTATTTTAGGATTTGTCAGCCACACTGTCAGGACTATTCAACTCTGCCATTGCAGCATGAAAGGTGTCAGAGATAATATGGACGTGAACTGGCGTGGCTGTGCTCCAATAAATGTATTCACCAACACAGGAGGCGGGACATGGGTGCCCTGGGAACTGGAGTTTGCTGATCCCTGCACTGGGATTCCAGACGAAAGGCATCCCAAGGGCAAGTGAGGGTCACATGGCTAGTGGACCCTGGAATACCAATGCGCACAGAGTGGATGCCTCCCGTGTTGCAACCTGAGACGGAGATCCACTCTGAGAAGACATCTTCAAGGCGGCCCCACTCCGTGACCCGCCCCGGGTTCTCTGCCTCAGGGACAGAACCTCTCCAAGCCCCGTGAGCTGCTTTCCTGCCTCATCTCTGTGCCTTTATTGCCCTGTCAACTGGCAGCTTCCAGGACACCGGGTTCCAGTTCTGACGTCGGCGCCAAGACCTGGCACCGGTGACCTCCCACGACCTCCCTAAAATAAGGAGGGAGACTCAGCACCTCCTCTCTTCCAGTTTCGACTCCCTCAAGTCCTACGAGCTGGAAGGCTGTGGCCACAGCAGCCACGGAGCCACTCAGTCTGCTCACGGGTTTCTGTGCGAAGAGCACAGGACGGAGAGTCAGGAGGACTGGGTTCCAGTCTGAGTCTGTCACTTGCACCCTCCGGCTTCGGTGACCTCGTCTTTACACCACACAGGTGGTTCCCGGCCATCTCCAACGGCCCCGTGGGCACCACGAGCCCATGACCTTGTGACCTGCCAGGCCCTGGGGACCATTTTCATCCAGGGAGACAGGACACGCCACCTACACCAGCCTATCTCTTCTCCGAGCTGAGACTCCCAGGGCTCCTCTCCGTGATCACCGACTCTGTCCCCTTCCAGGGATCCATGACAACATGGTTACAACCAGCTTGTCAAGTGCGGTGACATCTGCATCCCTGACATTCCCATCTGGAGACGGGCTTTTTATAGTCGGTGGTGGGAGGATGCTGCTGCGAATGCAGCTCCGACGGGAGGAATTTAGAGCCGCAAACATGGAGGAACCTGTTGTCCTTCGTCCGCACAGAGCTCCGCTCGGCTGCGTTCACGGTGGCCCCAGCAATCCCATCACATCCCTGGCAGGTCCCAGGGTGAGGAGGGTTCAAAGACAGAAGTGTGGTGCCCTCAGTGTCACGCCTGCGGCATGCTCGTGCTGCACACCCACCGTGCTGCCTCTCCCCACCGCTGGTCATTGGGGAGTGGGCTGTGTCAGCCTCAAAGTCTCCAGGGACAGGGTGAGTGAAGGGGTGGGGCCCTGCCCCTACAGGCTCCGTGATTCAAAATTCTCTGACAAGGGCAACCTCCTGCCTTGCCCGTTCACTTCTGCTGTCGGGCATCTCAGAGGCACGAAGGCCTCTTTGTACGACACGCATCAGCACAGTTGTTCTCTCACGCACGGGGCCTCCGTGCGGCCAGTGGCCAGCTGTTGTTCAGGGTGAAGGCCTCTCGGGTTGGAAAGACTGAAAGCTTCCACGTGGAAGTCTCTGTCCTGGGTATACGTAAAGGGCCAGTGGAGAGGACTGTTTCCATAAGACATGTCCAACCCCAGCACACAGCCCAGCGACGCTGCCTGACGAGAGACGCCGAACCTGAACCCCGCTGGGACACCTCTCTGTTCTTCACATAGAAGCCCGTGTCCCTCCCTCCTGCACCCTCCAAGGCCCTTTCTTCAGGATGCTGTCATCAGCACCTGCTAGTTCTGACCCTGAAAGTCAAAAGCTGCCCAAGTTCGGGGACCTCTCCCCCCAGGTCCCCTTAAGCTGTGAATTCCTGCACGAGGGAGGGCCCGATCACACACAACACAGATGCTCACAGTGGCCCCGCAGCCTCCGGGCCGGGTCAAACTGAGCCAGCTCCTTCTCCACGTAGTACAGGACCTTCATGGAGTCCCGCTCTTTGTCCGCTTGGATCCGGTAACCTTTGCGAACTGTGGAGAAGAGGACACGCGGGTGAGCTGGGAAACTCAGGAGATGGGGCCTCGTGTCTTTTACCAGGTAGATACCACGGTTCCCACGTGTAGCAGCTCTCTCTGGAGTCACGAGACAGTCATCTATATTTGTACACTTAAGACCCCTTAATCACAGGTGACCTCGGAATGGGGGGCCAGCAGGTCGGGAACAGAGCTCTATTCTGGTACATGTCAGTCATGTGCTCACCGCTGCTTCCTGTCCCACCTCCAGTAGCTCCACACAGAGCTCCTCCTCTCCAAGCTCAGGACTCTGACCTAAGTACTCACTGAACACAGACCCCTTTCCAGACGGAGACAGCCTGCTCTACAGCCCAAGGCTCACACCTCTACTCGGTGGGAGTTCCTGCAACTCCAAAACAGACACCTCAACGTGAGGGACCTCGACAGAGGTGGCCTGGACGCCTCTAGTGGCCCAGGAGATGGTGAAAAAGTTCCACTCCTGGGTGGTGCATAGGAGCTAATGTTAGATTACAGGCTGTATAGGCATTAGCACAAAATAAGATGTGAATACGTGATTATCGTTATGATTCCATTGTTTTCCTTTCGCATTTTCCTTTTGGAAAAGGGAATGCCATATTTTAGACATAAGTAATCCAACCTGCTGCTTGCTGTGTGTTACAAGCAGGTGTTATTTTCAGGGCTTAATAACCAACGAAATTAAAGCATCAGACGTAATCCCACCTCCTACGTTCCTGTCACTCACATTGTCAGGGACAAAAGCTGTTTGAGCCCCACACCCCCCAAGTATCAATCTAGTCCAATACCAGCCCCAACGGGAGGCCTAATCGTCACAGATGAGAGAGGAAAGGAGAGCAGGGAGTGCATGGGATGGGAACAGACAATGATGGGAACGGACAGCATGTGCTGGGTGCTCGCTAAATGCTTGGCCACTGGCCCTCGCGCCGCCCAAGGAAGGTGCTGTTCTTAGCCACAGTTTGTGGTTGAGAAAACTTTGGCTCCAAGGAGTTTCCTAACTTTGCCCCGGAATCACTGGCAGCTCCTGGGCTGGGACCTGCACTCCCACCGCCCTGGCCATCTTGCCTGTCTTGGAGTCTAGGGTCCCGGTAGGAAGGAGAGACGAGGATGAGGAAGAGGGGCCCAGGGCAGGAAGGCCTTAGGCGGCCAGGGCGCTGTGCTCTGAGGCGTGGTCCTATCTCCGCCCGGCAGGACTGTACCCTGAGGTGGAAGCAGGGGACCCAGCGCCAACATCCTGCTCCCACAGCGAGGCAGACACCACACAGAAGCCACATGCCTCTGGATCTCTGGTTATGTTACATGGACAAAGGCTCCACAGCCATGCACATGGGAGACTGTAATAGGCTGTTCCCCAGCACCCGGACCACAGCCTGGCACGTGGGCAGACACGGCAGGCGCTGCTGTTGTACGTGAGGGCAGGCCAGGCAGTCCACGGCCATCAGCTTGTGGTGTTACTTTGAGAATCTCCCCACGTGCTGTTTAGTGACTCCTCCTGGAGGTCAGATCCATAATCCTTTCGCAGAAGCAATTATTAGAAGATAGGGTTTTATGTATCAAGCCCCATGGTCTCCCACCTGGCAGAGGCGTTTGCAGAGTAGTACAGACAGTTCAATTAAAACGCAATCATCCCACGAGCTGCTCTGTCTGTTCTGAGGCAGCTCGTCTGATGGGTGAATACAGGGCTGGGGGTGGGGACTGGGCACCCTGTGGACATGCACTGGTTTATAGAGGGACCCCAAATAAATGGTCCCTCTCTGTTCTCATGTCTGTCAAAGGCAACTCAGCCCCAGCCGGTTTGGCTCAGTGGATAGAGCGTCAGCCTGCAGACCAAAAGGTCCCAGGTTTCATTCCATTCAAGGGCACATACCTTGGTTGCAGGTGCCTCCCTGGCCAAGGCCCTGATCAGGGCTTGTGCAGGAGGCAACCAATTGATGTGTTTTTCTCTGTCTTTCCCTCTCTCTTCTACTCTCCCTAAAAATCAATGGGAAAATATCCTTGGGGGAGGATTACCTAAAAAAAAAAGGCAGCTCATACTTCCCACCCTTTAAATAACCTCATAAAGAACAGAAAACACAGACCAAAGCCACGGAACCACCGAGTTCTCTGTAATTATTAGGGGCAGCTCAAATATCGCCACCTCTCAAAGGTATTGATTCTCGTCACTAGAGAAGTCCTATCTCCTCTGTCTGTCTCACTCCTAACTTCCATGTCATTTAGTTTGAACCTTCATCATGGCCCTTGATATATTCTAGTTTGTTTCAAGTTATTTGTAGAAATGCGAATCTTCCCAGATTCTGCAGGGACAGGAGACCTTGTCGTTTTGTGTAAAAACACACAGGACCTTGCTGTACACAGAGCAGGCACTTACTGCGGGCGTGTGAGCGGCTGCTGCCAGCAGGGCGCGGTGGGGTCCCGGTCTCCTGAGAAGGAGTATTTTCAGTGCTTGTCCTCCCTAGACTGTCACCCCCCCGAGGGCAGACAGGACCGGTTCTGTTTCTCACCCCAGCGCCTAGCACAGTGCCGGCACATGGCAGACATCCTGAATGTGTGAGTGAGTGAGTGAGTGAGTGAGCAAGTGAAAAGGAAATCAGGAATAGAAACGGTCTTAGCAGGAGAGGCCACGCAACTGGCGTGTTGGAGAATTGACAGGAAGACGGCTCCAATGGTAGCTGGAGGGAGCAGAAGGCTTATGTAGGCTTTGCTTTATTGTTATTATTGTTGATGATGATTCTCTCGGTAAGAAAACTGTTTGCAGGCATAGGGAAGGGGCTGCCCTGCCTTGGCTGTGGCTTTGTCTGGGTGTCTGAGTATGTGAGGCGCCACCTGTAAACTTCCAGCCGTGAAGACTGAGCTGGGCTGTGCTCTGGGAACATGCCCAGGTACTGCCCCCTGGCAGCGAGGCCAGCCCCTGACAACCGCTGGAAACCTGGGCGGAGTGCCACGTGGACTGGAGCTGCATGTTCCGTGTCACACAACAAACATGCTCACCGGGCGTGCGTGCCTGCAGGTCCATGACCCCAGAAATCGAACCCTCTCACTGTCACAAAGGACAGAGGCAAACTATTGATCCTGAGGCATCATCCATTGGTTCCAGGAGCTAAAACGCTAGGCAATTCTCCCCTGAAAAGGTTTTTCACCGTCAGCTCAGTGCCATGGCGTGGCACACTGTGGCTTTTCTCTCGTGCTGCGAGGAGCAGGCCGTGTCCCCCGGGGCTCAGGAGCACAAAACCAGGCCTTTCCTGACACCCCCCCCACACACACACACTCGATGAGGCCGTTTTCTCTGTGCGGGCCAGAGGGAACGGCCTTATCAGACACTGCTTTGCAGTTTGCACTCATTCTATTCCTATTTGCTAGCCCCCCGCAACCACCCCCCTAGATGAGTGGTCGGCAAACGGCGGCTCGCGAGCCACATGCGGCTCTTTGGCCCCTTGAGTGTGACTCTTCCACAAAATACCATGTGTGGGCGCGCACATACAGTGCGAATGAAACTTCGTGGCCCATGCGCAGAAGTCGGTATTTTGTGGAAGAGCCACACTCAAGGGGCCAAAGAGCCGCATGTGGCTTTCGAGCCTCGGTTTGCCGACCACGGCCCTAGACCATACATTCCTTGAGGGGCAATTTATAAGCATTTATTAAATGTTATTGATTTGAAGAATAAATAGAATGGTGTCTGGTTGGTTTCTGTCTGTACTGAGTCTGAAGACCAGAGAACTATGATGGGAGGCGCTATTTTAATAAGAAATGTCCCAGACCGGTGGCCAAAGCCCAACACTTTTTGGAAAATGAGTGTGCTCCCCAGTGATGCTTCAGGGGAGGCGGATGGTTTCTCTCTCTTCAGGTTCAGTCTGGTTCAGGTCCTTTGGTTGGCGTGGCTTCCACATCAGCTTCTCTACTTTATTAGCCTTGTCAGCTCTGCTTTTACTGGAGAGGGAATATTAGGATGTTCATTTTCATGCCACTATAATTTTGAGCTAATACTTTTGAAAAATTATTGAAAAATTATTGTTCAAGGATTTGAGCTAATACTTTTGTCCCCATTGAGGCGCAACTACTTTTCAGTTAATTTCCCCTTTACAGCCAAATGATACTTAAAAACTTGGAAATAACGCCCATCCCTAAGGCAGGCCCATGGCTGAGGCCTTGCTCTCGGAGTTCCAGCTTCCTGAGCTAAGTGAGGCTCTGGGGATGATGGAGCAGCTGCCAGATCCCACCCCCAGATGACAGCAGCAGCTGTGGGGGAGGTGGCGCTGGAAATGTGTGTGTTCCCTGTGTGCACACAGCGGGCAAAGAGACACATCCTCATTAGTTTTGGAAATGACATTTCTAAACCCTACCTGCCTACTCAATTCTTTTGCTAGAAGGGTGAGGAGAGGCAGGTAGATGTGACGAGGAAGTGGATTACAGTGAGGGAAAAGTGGATTCGGAAAGAGCAGGTGGGAGGTGGTGGCAGCAGGGACCGGGGCTGGGGTGGAGATGGAGGGACCGGGGCTGGGATGGAGATGGAGGGACCAGGGCTGGGATGGAGATGAGGGACCGGGCCTGGGATGGAGATGGAGGGACCAGGGCTGGGATGGAGATGGAGGGACCGGGGCTGGGATGGAGATGGAGGGACCGGGGCTGGGATGGAGATGGAGGACAGTAAACTGGTTCGAGGTTATTCTGAGCTACAGTCTGAAGGACCTGCTGACCAACTGGATGCGGGAAGTGAGGGCGAGGACGAGAGGAGGGTGAAGTCCCAGCTTTTGGCCAGTAGGTGGACAATGCAGCCACTGAAATAAGAAACGGACGAGTTGAAGTAGACAAACCGCAGATTAATCCCGTTTCCCAGAGGCTGAGATTGAAAAGCCTGCAGGCATCCAGTGGAGACGTGAGGAAGGCAGTGGGACCCGGGGACTGGGGATCAGAGGAGAGGGCGGAGGCATCGGCTTACAGACCATGGCGACAGCCTGGGAGTGAGTCGATTTCCGGGGTGGGGGGAGGGGGAGAGACAGGAGCACCCAGAGGGACAGCCGGCAGGTAGGAAATGTCACAGAACACCACGAGGGGGAAGGCAAAGCAAAGAGTGGGTGAGGGCGGCAGGACCCCTGATGGCTCAGGGGAGCCGGGATGGAGGAGGACCCACTAGCCTTAGCAAGAGGCCACCTGGCGGGCTGGCTTCTGGAGTGACGGCAAGAGCAAGATGGAAGTTTGGGGAGTTGACGAGAGCAGGGGACATGTAGACATGAAATGTTCGAAACTCTCCCAAGGAGTCTGGCAGTGAAGAGGCGACAAGGGATGGGGATGTGGCCTCAGAGGGCTGCAGGGGTGCGGCAGGTGGTGGTGTATGTGATGGACGGTTTCCAAGGCTGATAGGAGGAGCCCCTGAAGAAGGCAGGCTGGAGATGTGAGGCAGAACGGGCAGTGTGGGTGTACCCTGAAGAGAACACAGAGCTGAAGGGGTGGGTCCAGGCTGGGGAGGAGGAGGCAGCCGTCTTTCCTTGAAGGAGTCCCCACCAGCCGCCACGAAGGTCAGAGAAGGAATCAGTGCCTCTCCCGTCTCTCCCACACGGTAACCAACAGGCTATTCCATGCACGGCTCCTCAGAGCTGCCTTTGCAACCACCCAGTGTGCAAGAGTGTTGTGTACAAACAGAATCTGGAAGTTACAGTTGCTAGGTGACTACCCCAAAATGGAGGTGGCATGTAAATATAAAATAGGCTAAATTTACATCTTCTAAAACAGCATTTCTTAACACGTCTAACATGCTTTAGAGAATAATCTACACGGAACGTTGGCGTCATCAGTAATTCTGGTCGTGGGACCAGGACAGAAATGTGCCCAGTGGGGACGCCCACACGGCCAGGCTGGTGTGACATCCCCTTTCCCATCACAGAGCCCTGGTTGTGTTCATTTCCAGGTCAGTAAGTGCTTTGGTCTAAGATATATGTATATATTGATTTCAGAGAGGAAGAAAGAGGGAGAGATGGAAACATCAATGATGAGACAGAATCGTCAACTGGCTGCCTCCTGCACACCCCACACTGGGGATCGATCCCGCAACCCAGGCATGTGCCCTTGACTGGAATTGAACCCAGGACCCTTCAGTCCACAGGCTGACGCTCCATCCACTGAGCCAAGCCAGCTAGGGCAAGAGATGAGTCTTGACCAGTCCAAGCCAATCAGGTTTAGGAAGGGGCCTGGGGCACAGTGCTGGCCACTAGGACTGCAGATGTCGGCAGGAGAAGGGGCTTCAGGCAAAGGCCCATCACTCAGGACAAAGCAGCGCAGGGAGGAAGCATGTCTGCTTCCTGCCTCAGAATGCAGTTCCCGGAAGAATGGCAGCCATCGTGGGAGAACCAGGGAGTGCCCGGGAGGACAGAGCAAGTGGAAAGAACAGCCCTTCTGTGCGTGATACATGAGCTGTTCCACCAGCCCACCCCAGGCCACCTTCCCCAGGGGCTTCTCACCATGTGAAAGAAGACATTTTCCTCATGCCCAGCCATTTCTAACTACAGTTGGTAGCACGGCAGCCAGGCCGAAACGACGGAACTGCCACAAGCAGGGGCCGGGGAAGGTTGGAAACAGGAGAGAGGAAGCCCTTGCCATTCTAGGAACCTGAGTCATTTTATTATGAGACTCACTGATTTAAAAGTAGGGGGTTGGGGGGGCGGGTTCTGGTGGGAAGGCAGGAAGGAGGGAAACTGGAAGAAAGGGAAGCAGCCAGCAGAGTCTGAGACAAGCTCCCTGGGTGGCTCTTGGCTCCACCCCCTGGGCAGTGGCTGCCTTCATCGCTCTAATCCCCGTGTCCTTGATCATTAACTTCACTTCCCTGCCTGTGACTCATTTCCGGTCTCAGGCGACAGGATTCCGTGAATAGTTCCAGGGAGAGAAAAACACAAACACCGATTACTCACTGAGGACGTCTGCTCTGTCCACAGTCGGTACCGACAGCTCACTGCTGGGTGAGGCCCTGGTTCCTGTCCAGATGCCTCCAGAGCACAAATGCCCGTTTTCCACACCCCAGTGGCTCACCCACCCCGGGATTTACAAATCACCTCCTAAGTCTCCTAAACACAGTTTCAACCTTCCTGCTCCATGACCCTGGTCAAGCCTCCAGGAGAGCGACACCTTAACGCTGCTCCCCTCCCCTCCTCCGCCCAGCCCGTAACCATGACTCATCCCTCAGTGGGGCCAATCTCATCTAAACAGGCCCCGGACCAATGCGTTCCCTGCGGGCTGTGACGCGCACCACCGTTACCTCCACTTCCTGCCCGATGGGCTCCTCTCCAAGCACCTGTCTGATGCCCGTTCATTTCAGCTCACAATCTCCACCCAGATGCTCACGTTTCCCTGAATGACTTCAGTTGCATCTCAGCTCGAGGTCCGACTAAGTCTCCCCCATGAACCACGTGCCCGGTCAGCATGTCACCTCTCCGCTCAGGACTCTGCTGCCGTGACTCTCGCTAAAGCACCGATTCTGGGAGTCAGACGGGTGAGCTGGACACCATCAAACACACCCAGTGTGTTCTCCCTGCTCGGGCTTCCACCCTGCTGCCTCCTGGGGGTGCCCAATGACCCCCAACTCTGCTCTCCCAATCCTCTCATTCCTGCAGGCTCAGCTCAGATCTCACCTCTCCCCGGAAGACTTGGCAGCCAGCTCTCTCTCCCACAATCCCCCGTCCCACACTCTTTAGCACCCAAAGCCTTGATGAAGCATCTTTCCTCGGGCTGGAGCACACTGCCGGACACAACCACGTCCCCCAAGTCTTGGCGCTCCGCAGAGTACCGGCTAGTCCTGAGCACTAGGGAGGGAGGAGGAAACTATTGGCTAACTTCTGGGATGGAGATAACCATTTCCCAAAGAAGCGTCCCTGAGCTGATCCCCGGCCTGGAAGCAGAGGAGGAGCGCGGGGCGGGGCAGAATGGAACCTCATTTACCACTGCGGCTTCCTCCAGTGGAGTCGCTCGGAGCCAGGGGAGGTGGATGCGGCTTGTCCATCAGCATGCCCGATGAGGGGGCTCCTCCCAAGGGGACAGGGGGGATGGAGTAGGGGCCGGGGACACAGGACACAGAGGGAGGGTACCCGGCCTTGGCTGCTTTCCCTGCTTCATACACTGCGGAGGGAGATGAAGAGCAAGAGATTATACGGCCCCACCCTCACAACCCTCACACCTCACGTCCCTGAGGGTGCACTTTAGGGACCTCCTGGATGTGTGCCTGTGTGTGCCTATTTGTGCATGCACGCACGTGTGTGCCTATGCGTGCAGGTGCATGCTGTGTCCCAGTGCATGTGTGTACATGTGTGTGTCTATTTGTGCATGTGCCTGTGTGTGCTTATGTGCATGTGCCTATGTGTGCATGTATGTGTGTGCATGCGCCTTGCGCGCCTGTGTGTTTGTTCTCCTAGGCCTGAGTCACGTAATTGGAAGCACTCCCCGCACTGCCTTGGACTCCTCCGGCTCCGTCAGCAGACGACATCAGGAATTACAGTGTTTGGCACCTGGCAACTGAGTCACTAGCAGCAGCGGGAGCCGTCCCAGCAGCTCCGTGACAGCAGCGGCCCACTCCTAGCCACACTGTATGTAGGCGGCCCAGCCCCGGGGCTGCCCAGGGCAGCTTCCGGGGGAGCCGGAACCTCTTCCAGCGGCAAAGCGAGCAAGGGGCTGCGTGTGAGCCCAAAAGCAGAGCAGATAACCTGACCCTCCCGGAAGTGCGTTCTTCCCGAGAGCACTAACCTACCACGTGTCTCTCTCCTGCGAGCTGTGTCTGGTTGACAGCAGGGGTTCCAAATGTGATGCCTACCTGGGCCTGGCACCCTGGGAATCCCCAAAGGAGGACTCGCTCTTCTGTGGGCCCTTTGGTCATGGGCGCACATAAAACCTGCCAGTGGCTGGATGGCACCCAGGACTGTGGTCTGCACACACTGCTCATCAAAAGGGGGTTCTCTGCTGTGGGAGGCGTGACCAGAGAAGGTTCCTCGAGTCTGAACGCCCCGGGAGAGGGCAGGCGCCTCTCCCACAGCCTCAGCCTCCTGCACCTGCCCTTCCTGCAGCCAAGTCTCAACGAGACGGCACATGCTGCTGACGGGCGTGGACAAGGACGGAGAGGTGAGTGGACGTGAGATGGCACACAAGGGTGTCGGCTCCCTGCGGGGCTCCCGCAGGGAGGGAGCATGGGATGAGCGACACTTTGGGGGGAAGAAAGGAGGTGGAGAAGGAAGTCAGGCACACAGCCGCCCAGTGGGTCACGGATCCTCGTGGGCTGCCTCCCCCCCACCCACCCCCCGTGGCCCTTTACTCACAGGCCTGAGGGCAGCAGCAGGACTCCGGGCAGCAGGGGCAGCGGATGTAGCAGCAGCAGCTGTGTGGGCAGCACTGGCACCAGCAGATGCCCACCAGGACGAAGAAGAGGAAGACGCCCAGGATCACCAGCCCCACAAACACCCACTCTGGAAGGAGGCACAGAGAAACTCGCGTCAGGGTGGCGCCTCCCCATGAAGAGGCAGACGGGGGGCCTGGGACAGAGGGCACAGAACCCCCAAACTCGGGAGGCACTGGGAGAGTGAGAAGTGCAGACCTCCCAGGGCTGGGGCGTGAAAAGGATGGTCACCAGGTCCTGTGAGCACAAGCCACGGTGGGCTCAGGGCCCGCCCGGGGAACGGGTTTACCATGTTGACTGCAGTGTCAGGACTGGTGTGGGACAGGAACACAGACTGGTGGCTGGGGAGGGGACGGGTCTGCTGAACTAGAACGTGGGTTCTGTGAGTACGTATCCTGGGGAGTCGTTGATCTTGTCGCTGGACGTGTAAGCCCTGAGAAACTTCTCCATGTCTACCGGGTGCAAATCAGAACGTATTTAGGTGGTCCGTGTCCTTATGTCTCTATCCGTTCCCCTGCCCATCGTCCCGGGACGCCTTTCCTGAACTCAGCATCAGGGCTAATACCTGCCCAGCGAACCATGACCAGAGACAGGAGAGCGGCTCCCAGAGAGAAGACGCCGCCCCGCCCCCGGCTGCCGACAGGCTGGAGGGCCCAACTCCCCCCTGGCAGCGTGGGAGGCCGGAGTGAGCCTCGGTTTCCCTTAAAAGCTAAAAGACTAAAGCAATTTTGATTGAAAATCATCTACCAAAAATCCCTTTACAATGGACTTTATGCGTTATTTTCTTAAATTGTGGGTATTAAATACTCCTTCGGTTAAGTGGCCATTCAGTTAGAGCTTGAAAATGTGACGTTTTTGTTACGAAGGTTGGTGATCAGGGCAAAGCTATTGATCTTTGTTTAGACAGATTCCTCAGAGAGAAAACAACTCCTGCTTCCTGACTGTCCCTGCCCTCATCCCCCTGAAACACGTTCAAAGCGGCCAGGCCGCTCTGCGGACGAGAACGGGAGACCGCGTCGCTCCTGTGGTCCGGAGAGCCTTCCTGCTGAGGCGCTAGATGGCTGAGGGCTTGGCCTGGGCCTTGGAAATAACAGACCACGTACCCCGAGACAGTGTGAGCCCTGAGGCTTCGGTGAGGTGTGTGGCGAGGTGGCCACAGGCGGGTCAGGCAGTCAAGGAGAAGAGACTGCAGGTGCCCTTGAAGAAACACTGTTATCCGAGAAAGGATTCTTGCAGCCAAAAGGGAGGGGCATTCGGGTACCCAGGGGCGGAGATGAAAAATACAGTAACTCTTTCTTGGGGGTATAATCTCTCATTTGAAGAAGCGGTGCAGTGTAACATTGTTCCTTTGACGTACAAACTGACAATTCTGGATAAGGGGATCACGAAGCGGCAGCTCTGTGTGACCTTGGGATGAACATGAAGAAGAATGTCTGTCCTGGGACCGTCAGCTATTGGGAAAGGGCCAGGGAATTCACGGAAGAATAATGAGGGAAGAGTTACTGGGAAGACTCTGGGACTCAGTGGTCAGCAAACTGTGGCTCTTTGGCCCCTTGAGTGAGGCTCTTCCTAAGCCTTAGCAGTACCCTAATTAAGTTAATAATAATGTACCTACCTATATAGTTTAAGTTTAAAAAATTTGGTTTCTCAGAAGAAATTTCAATCGTTGTACTGTTGATACTTGGCTCTGTTGACCAATGAGTTTGCCGACCACTGCTCTGGGTGTTTCTGAAGCCTTGAATCAAATCAAAACTGATGGCCATGACTATCCTGTATCTCACTGCTGCTGCTAACTCTAGGCAGCTCTGAAACTTGGGGAGAAACCTCCAAAGCAAGAGGGAACCCTTTCCTACCCCGATTCTGGATGTGCCACCCCCTGGTCCATCCCTGTTCTGTCCGTGCCTCTTCCAGGCGGCACCAACCTGATGATGGCTTGTCTATGCTGCTGCGTTCAACTTAAGCTACATGGAGAGACAGAGGTGTGCATTCCGGACAGGTGTCCTTGAGAGAGTCCACAGCCCCTGCTAGGACTTAGGGGCGCTGAAGTTGTATACAAAGCAGAGTAGGTATGCAGATGTGTGTTCTTCAAGGGAGGAGGGGTGCATAGCTTTCATTAAGTTTGAAGAAAAAGTTCTGATAAAGTACAAAGGGAAATTCAGAGTAACACGGTTGCACATAGTGACCGGGTACACATATAACTTAGGGCATAAGGAATGCAGACAAGTAACGACTCTGTTCAGGATACTTAGTGCTATTTGGGTGCAGCTGAGACCCTGGGCATGAGGTGGCCAGGGAGCCCGCATGCCTGGCACGTGTGGTCAGGACTGGGTGCCCATCTCAGCCATTTTTAATTATCATTACTTTTTTAGGTTCTAGTAACAGAAATACAATTTAAAGGCTCTCCCAATGGGCTTAGTTCATCCTGGAAAAGACCACAGACATATATAGACAAATGTGCAAATACATTAAAGGAGCAATTAGTCACTAATGCAGAAGCCAGACAGATGGAATGACAGCAAATTAAGCAAACAAAGAGTTAAATGACTGAATACCTGGCATAATCTCCACAGCGAAGCTGGGCAAGAGGTCAGCAAGCAGCCCTGTCCTGCCTAGAAGAGGTAGGAGGGAAAGAGAAGGAAAGAGGTTACTCCCAGGGAAACACAGCCTGGGCCTGGCTGCGGCGGCGCCACCCGCACGGGGCCTGGCCCAGGCTCTTGGTGGTACGCGAGGCCCATCCAGCGGTGGGGCTCGGACAAGAGAATGACCTTCCCTGTCGACCTCTGGCGGCTACGTAAGCGAACTCTGCACCTACATCAGGTGGAAGCAGAAGCAGCGCTTCCCCTCCAGCCACCTATAGGAGGAGGGAACGCCTGCCTCACCCACCAAGGACCTGACCCAGCAGACAGACACGCCCCATCTCCACTCACTTATGCGTCCTTCTCGCACCTTTTATTGGAAAAGTCCACCCCGTCCGTATCCAGATGGTCAGCCTGCATTTCCAAATATCCACACGCATCCCTACACCCATCAAAAGCAAAGTGCATATTTGGTTTTAACTCGGAATGATCTCGGTATATAATTCTAATTATAGCCTGGAGATAGTTCAATGACTAAAATTTCCAAGGCAAAGAAGAGATAAGCTAGACCGGGTACACGCTCCTCTCCTCTGGCTTCGGAAATGCTCTGTACGGTACGGCTTTCCCATATGGCACCCACAGCTGGCGTGGCGTGGACCCAGCTGCCTTCCGCGTGACGAGGCAGAGAAGCGTACGGGCTGGTGTCGGAACAAACAGGTGTCCCTCGAGGCTCGCTGGCAAGGAGCTGTGCAGGAGGGGAGCCACTGGGAGATGTGGGGAAGGAGGCCAGTCCTGTTATAAACTCGCCTCCTTTATAGGATGAGGTGCCAAGCGCTTGCACCACGTTCTCATATCACAGTCGGTGGAAAGGCCCAGCTGGGACTTCCCCGCACCAGACGCCCAGCCACACTGGGGTCTCGCTCATCACTGAGGTGCGCTGGGAAACAGCTCGCAAGCCGCCTCCTGCCAGGCTTGGGATGGCAAAGGGTCACCCTGGCACCTGAATGCTGCTTCATTTATGTGTGTGACAATGCACCTAGAACAGCTCTTCCAGTACAAATATAATGTGAGCAGCGGTCCCTGTAGGGTTTCTAGTAATCATGTTAAAAGAGCAAAAAGAGGCCCTGGCCGGGCAGCGCAGCTGGTTAGCATATCATCCTGATATACCAAGCATGCGGGCTCCATCCCCAGTCAGGACACATACAAGAAGCAACCAACGAACGCGTAAATAAGTGGACCAACAAATCAATGTTTCTCTCTCCCTCTCTAAAATCCATCAGTTAAAAAATTTAAAACGAGTAAAAAGACTGAAATGAATGGCTATTTTTACTTATACCAATGCCGCCAAAGTGTGAGCACTTCCCAAGCCCTGTATCACCTCATCTGTGGGGTCTGTTTCATGCCCGTGGACTTGGTTCATTCAGAAAACAGCCAGCCCTTCCTGTTTAAGTTCTAGAGGTGGAGTCGAGGAAAGTCACTCACGTGTGGTTTACATTTTGAGGCGAAAGGCCATGGCTGGGCACTGGCCCCTCCCTCCTCAAGCCGCCCCACCGAAGAGCAGCCCCGACAGAGGTCAAGGAAAAGGTGCCCCCAGACGCGGGGAGGACGTGTCCTGGGGGCTCGGCGTTAGGCAGGCGGAAGGGATCTTGGCTCACTTTGCTTTTCTTGGCTCTCCTGACTTTGCAAGGCCAGTGCCTCCTGGGAGAGGTTGGGTCAGAAATTCGGACAGGGCTTCACAAAGCTTGTCACTCGGACAGAAGGACAGGCGTCCCGCTTCTCATTCTCCCAAAGCCACAGCCCAGAGCTGGTGCTCTTGAGGCCGGGACAGCTTCCCATGTGCCTGGTGTGGTGGCCCCGTAGCGGGGTGGTACCCTCTCGCAGTCCAGGGGGGAACATGACAGGGCTTTTGCCTGAGGACAGCTGGAGTCGGGACAGCGGACAGTGCCACCCACCATGTCAGCAGTGAGACCATGCACGTCACTGGCTCGCACACCGTGACTTATTTTATTGGATTAAAGGCACTTTGAAAGGGGCGTTTACACTGGGATCCTGTATTTCTGAAAAGCATTTTGCTTCCATCTTCTTGCCTAGCGATTCCCGAGAACTGCCTTTGGCAGCTGGACATGCGGTATCTTCCCTTCCTGGTCTAACCCATCTCGTCCAATGAAGGCCTGACCGGGAGTCCACACGAGGCAGCAAACACCCTGCTTTCCGAGGCCTTTCCCAGCCGGGATCTCGTTCATCCTCCAGGGGTCGGTGTAAGAGCGGCAGTTACTCGCCACTGAATGTCTGAGAAAAGGATGGAGAGACGACATTGCAAACAGAGGGCCCCGTTTTCTCTTTTCAAACATCGTTCAAGCTATTACAGAAAATGGTGTTCATGAAGCTTGGTTTCCCCGAACTTGGCAGAATCCATCACCTTAAAGACATTTCCATAGGAGTCACCCCAACAGCTCAGGCACACCAATCATTAGCACCAGCACCAACATGAGCACCATTTCATACCAAAGCATCACACATGTCGCAGCCCACAATACTCACACACCTGGGCCTGAATGATCATGGCAGCAACGTGCACAGTGGATAAAACAACTGACGTATCGTCCCACACAGTCCCCATGGCAGCCGCTGTTTGCCACAGACGCCTTCAAGTTACACCCTGAACGCTTTGTACTATTCCCCAGACCCATTACTCCTGAGTGTCTCCAATACATTCATCCAGAAATGTATGTGGAGCCAGGTGGAGACAGAGGGGAACTAGACACGATCCCTACACTCTCGAAGCTCTCGGGCTCGCTTACAGCCTGTCCCACGGTGTGAGAAGAACTCGGTGTTGGGATCTGCGTCAGCATCACAGGACTTAACTGAGGTCAGGGACCGTCCTCCTGCCGCGTGCAATGGTTTCACCAGCCTTCCTTGTATTTTAACATCGGGTTCCACCTGGTCCTGGGACCTTCCCCCAGAGACATGGCATGACAGTCACAACAAACCCTGTCCTGTGACATCCCCAAGACGCGAGCGCTCCTCTCACGGTAGGCCAGGCCCTTCCATGCACTTACTCCCTTCTTCCCGAAGATAACAGCGCATCACTTCTCACTGCCCTTGTTTGTGTGAGTCCTCGTCCCACACCGCCTCCCTGCCTCCAACGTGGATTCCGACAGCCTGTAAGGAAGCTGTGCTGAGAAGGTGGCTGCGCCAGGCTCGGAGGACCCAGGCACCCTGCCTCAGAGCTGGTCTCCGGCTGCAAGGAGCACCGCACTGAGGACGAAACCCTCCAGGCAGGGACTGTGTTCTGTGCCTGACATCCCCAGCAGCCCCGCAAGAGGAGGCACCTCACCCTCTGGACAGTGAAGTGTTTCCAGTAGCAAATCCCCTCTGAGGGTATGCTGGCTTCTGATTGGCTGCTCACAAGGTGCCCTTGTCCATCCCAGAAGGAAACCGGCTGTTCATCAGCGCAGGAAGGGAGCATTCATTCACCGAGCCCTGGTCCATGTGCTGGAGAAGGAGGAGCACCCTGGACTCGGGGCCAATGGTAGGAGCCTCCTCAAGGCACCGAAACATTCCAAAAGGTCATCTTACCGTCGAGGGGACTGAGGCCTGCCCCACCTCGCACCCCACAGGTTGTAACCCCCAGGCTGGGGTGTGTGTAAGGCGGCCATCACAGAGATGCAATGTGCTTACAAACAGCCAAAAAGAGTGTTTTTGGCTCTACTCTTGAAACTTAAATCCAAGCCCTGATTACGAGTCCAAGCCTTCAGAGAGCAAAGGTTAACCGTTTCCTTTGTCCTGGTGAGGCTGCCGCTGCGGACAGCGTGGTCACCTCCACTCCTTTCCCTGCGCTTATTCACGTGGAGTCTTCCTGGGCTTTGCAATGGACTACACAAATGGCCCCTGGCGCTTTCTTCCCCTGCCCTGAGGCTCCCTCTTCTCCCTCTGCCTAAGGCACAGCTGGCCTTCCTCGCACAGCCAGGCCTTCCTCAGACCCCAGGGTCAGTTTTCAGGGACGCACAAGACCCACCCTGCTCTCTCAGCTCCTAACCCCCTCAAATGTTTCTTTTCAAGTCTTTGAGGAGAGAAGATGCCTTTCTCTGGCTCTTTGAAGTGTAAACTTGTTTCTATGGCTATTTGGAATCCAAATAGATAGGAAATTTCCCCAGGGCACACACATCCCTGCTTTTATTCTGTATTCCCCCGGCAACCATGCATTCAGTGAGTTTATGATTACCCGTCACGAATGCGGAGCTTGCCTCCCTCTCTTTATATGTATTTATAGACTATGTATGCAAGCCTTTCATATGTGAACTCTTTCTTTTTATGTCCTTTACATTTTAGTTCACTTTTAACTATATTGAATAATGCTGACATTGGATTCTCTCCAATACTAATAATGACTAGTATTAGACCATCTGCAATTAACTGTTCATAAATGCTTTGGGCTTTTTGGCAGTGATTATAAGGTTGGTCCAAATCACTGACTTCTATTCACACAGAAGTCAGATTTGACAAGTAGGAAAGATCTTGGAGGTCATCTAATCTGTAACCCACCCATGTTTTTAGGAACCTGAGGCTCAGAGAAGTTACAAATTTTACCAAAGTCACACTGCTGACTAATGATCAAACCAAGAGTAGAAACTAGATCTACTTGCCCATTCCGGTATTTATTTTTTATTTTATTACATTTTATTTTATTTTATTTGCCAATACCTCACTCCCTCTCCAGATTTGCTTGTTCTTAAATTTAACTCCTTCCTCATCTCCTGGTATTTGCAGTGAGAGACCCTCAAATGTGTTTGTGGCATCATTGCCCAGTTAAATAATTAAAGTGTAATTTTTGGATGTAGAAAACGTTAGAGGTGGTTAAAAATTTCAGCACCTTTTACAGTTGCAGCCAGAAAATGATTACTGAGTAGTCGTGACCCTATGATCTAATGGAAGGGCATTCACCATGCTGCTACAAACAAATAAACAATGATAATACAGATAATACAGAGCACACCAGATGTGCAAGGCCACTCTGAGCGTGGGAATCTTAA